GCTCTTCAGTGAGCGGAGGTGGGTGGTGAACCAGGGGGAGGAGCGAGAGTAAGAGACAGTACGGGAGGTGATGGGGGCAAGAGTGTCGAGTGTGGAGGAGAGGGTGTTGTGGAGGAGGGTGAGAGCAGAAGAGGGGTCAGTGAGGGATGAAGGCCAGAGGGAGAGGAGTTCAGAGGACTCCAAGGCAGCGGTTAGGGATTGTGGGGGTAACTTCTTCCAGGGGCGGTAGAAGATGGTGGTGGGTCTGGTGGAGGTAGGGAGGGGGTGGAGGTGGTGAAGGAGATGAAGTGGTGATCGGAGACGGCCTTGTCGGTAATGGTGACATCCGAGACACTGAGGCCCCGGGTGATCACCAAATCGAGTGGGTGGCCGTGACTGTGAGTGGTGGAGTTGATGTGGAGGGAGAGGTTGAGTGAGGAGAGCAGGGAGGAGAAGTCCGAGGAGATGGAGCAGGAGGGGGTGAAGTGCAGGTTGAAGTCGCTCAGGATGATGAGACGATCAGAGCAGAGAGATGTTAGGAGGGTAGAAATGTCGGAGATGAAGGTGGGAGAGGTTTTAGGGGGCCGGTAGAGGAGAAGGATTTTGAGTGAGAGGAAGGAGGGGTGGGAGAGGGTGAGGTGCTCAAAAGAGGGGAAAGAGCCAGAGGAGTAGGGGGATAGGGCAAGTGGTGTCCTTGAGATAAGGGCTACACCACCGCCACGGCGGTTGGGGCGAGGGATGTGGTGGGAGGTGTAGCCGGGTGGTGTGGCCTCCGTGAGGGGGAAGGTGTCGCCTGGGGTGAGCCAGGTTTCTGTTAAGGCCATGATGTCAACGTTCTCATCAAGGATGAGATCGTTGATGACCAGGGCCTTGTTACAGAGGGAGCGGACGTTTTGTAGTCCGATGTGGAGGGAGCGGTTGACAGAAGGGTGTGTGGGGGGGGAGGGGGGTCCAGGTTGTGAGGCAGGGGTGGGGGAGATGGGGATGAGGGAGGAGAGGTTGGCTACCCGGGTCTGTGTCCGGGCTGGCGAGTGTGGTGGGGAATGGGGCAGTCGGTGTGGCTGCTGCTGGACAGCCAAGGCCGAGTGCCGCGGTGAGCCCGGCGGAGGATTCCCAGGCTGGAGCAGAGGGAGGTTGTGGGAGGGTCAAGTGGGGATAGAAGACGAGAGGGACGGAGAGAGAGGAGGAGAGAGCGGGAGAGATGCAGAGGGGGGAGGGTTTGGAGGGAGGGAGGGAGGGGATGAGGGGGCTCGGGTCAAAGCGGCAGCCATAATGTGCATGCGGGGACCGGGAGCGAGTGGTCAGGTGGACGACATTAACCCACAGGCTGGGGCTGGGACAGCCAACCTAACAGGACCATGGTGTTCCCTGATGCGAGCCCTGGGGTGGGCGCAGACGATTTTTTTTTCTTTTGCGCGCGCACACTGCTGAATTTAAACTATGATGTCAGCGGTTCCCCCGCTCCACCCTCCCCCCCCACCACTACCCCCAACACATGGCCGACAGGTGGCAGATGAAGTTTAATGTGGAGAAATGTGAACTGATGCATTTTGGGAGGAAGAATGAGGAGAGCAATATAAGCCGATGGTACAATCTTAAAGGGGGTGAAGGAACAGAGAGGCCTGGGGGTCATATACCTAAATATTTGAAGGTGGCAGGACAGGTAGATAAAGCTGTTAAAAAAGCACACGGGATACTAGGCTTTATAAATAGGGGCAGAGAATACAAAAGTCAGGAAGTTATGATGAACCTTTATAAAACACTGGTTAGTCCTCAGCCAGAGACTGTGTTCAGTTCTGGGCCCCACACTTTAGGAAGGATGTCAAGGCATTGGAGAGGGTGCAAAGGAGATTTACCAGGATGGTACCAGGGTTGATGGACTTGAGTTATGTGGAGAGGCGAGAGAAGCGAGGATTCTTCTCCTTGCAGCAGAGAAGTTTAAGAGGACATTTAATGAAAGTTTTCAGGATTATGAGGGGATTTGATAGTGAACAAGGAGAAAATATAAAAGAAACAGAGAGCAGGTGAGAAATATTTTCACACAGTGAGTTGTTCGGATCTGGAATGCAGTGCCTAAAGGGAGTGGAAGCTGATTCGTTAACAATTTTTAAGAGAGAAGTAGATCATTATTTGGGGAGGACAAGTTTTCAGGGCTATGGGGCGGGAGAGCGCGGGGGAGTGGGATTGATTTGGATAGCTCTTTTCAAAGAGCCAGCACAGACACGATGTGCCAAATGCCCTCCTTCCTTGCTGTATAATTCTATGATTCTATGAACTCAGTCTCATTCTAATCATCTAGCTCCAATCCATCAGTGGTGCCCTGTTGCCTGACCAGGAATGATAAGCTCCAGGGTCACATGTTAGACACAGAAAGTTTTGACTGTGCGTGTTCTCATTGTTCATTATAAATCCCACTCTCTGCCCATATCACTGACAATCCTCTGCCGATTGATACCGACTCTGCTGCGAATCATTGATAAGCCTTGATATCAAATATCAAATGCAAGGATTATTATCATAATGCAAATTGGCGACAGTCTGAACCTTCTATTAGGATTGCTCTGTGACTGAACTGTTTAAATAATAATAATCCTTGGATTTCATACAGCGCCTTATCACGTCTTTGAGACGTCTCAAAGTGCTTCACAAAATATACTGAAAAGTGAATTGATCTTCACTCAAAGTCAAAGTATCTCTTTGATTAATCCTATAAAACGTAAGATTTATCTTTGCAAGACTGATAATCACAGTATTGGGAACATAAAAACATAAGAAATGCTAGACAAAAAGACCAAGGTGCATGTAGTTCGCCTTCCACCTTCCTGGTGGTTGCATGCACATATGTCCTGAACTACCTATGTACCATCAATGGGATGGCCTCCTTCTGTGCTGTTTAATTCTATGGTACAGCGCGTCACAGCTCACAGTTACAACTGCACTCTCTCTGATCAATTCCCATTTGTATACACACACACTCCCTCACGCGCTCTCACTCTCATGCGCTCACACACTTTCACTCACACACACACAGTCTCACACACACAAAAGTGCCAGTATCAGAGCCTCCAACAATAATCCTTGCACTTGAGATAGTGCTTTTCACGCCACCGGGAAGAAGTCTTATAGGCAAGTATAGTGACTGTGTATTTTGTTCCTGCTTGTGTATTGTGACTTAAAAAAGTCAGCGCTTTAGTGGCAGCGCTTTCAGCCATTGTGCCCCGAAACTCTTTCTCTATCCACTGCCTTACCCGCCCCTTGCACACCTTCAGTTAGTGCCTGAAGACTTTCCTCTTCAACCGTGTCTATGGTCACCTTCCCCGGCTCGGCATTGTGTTCAATCACTGTCAAGCGTTCTGGGACGCTACCCTACTGAAGGCCGCTATACAAATGCAAGTTGTTGTTGTGTGTGAGGTGTGCTTATGTGTGGGGTGTGTGTATAAAGGGAGGGGCTGTCTGTATGTGTTTGGGTGGAGTAGGTGTGTACGCCTGTCTGCGCAGTGGGCGGGTGTGCATGTGTGCTCAGCTGGGGGCCATCGGTCATGCATGTCTACGTGTGAGGTGTGGTGTGCTTATGTGCGATAAATTTGTTGCGAGTGTGTGGGACGTGCGAGTGTGTGGAGTGGGCGTGAGATTGGTGTGTGTGTGCATATGCATGAGTATGACATGTGTGCGAGTGGGGATGGGGCTACTATTTGCATTGATTCTCAGCAAAGACACGGACTCTGCAAAGGAAGTTTTCAAACAGTTATGGGCTTGTTGGCTCAGGAAACCTCACACCTCATCAGCTACAACTCAAGAGCCATTGAAGCACATTGAAGCTGCCAGACTCCAGGCTCACAGGCTAGGCGGCCTCTGAGGATTCCAATGATGAGGCTGGGAATGGGATTAGCACTCGGGTTATTACCCTCAAATAGCCGGCACTTTGTTCCTTCGCAGGTCAGGCTCTGAAGAGATGGCTGCTGCACACACCAGTGCTGATGATGACAATAAATTAGACCTTTGGGCCACCTTCCACACCGCTGCCCTGAGGTCATTGTGCAATCATCTTTCATTTTCCAAATAGTCTCATTGACACAGTAAATCCAGGAAAGTGTTTTTAGATGTTTTTATGACATGATGCTGCGTCAAATGTAAAGGTTATTAAGGTTGTCTGTGTGGGATTGCTGCCAGTATCACCACTGCTTGCCCCCGGGGTAGCTGGTTGCTATTTCTGTTACAGCACAATGACCTGGAGCACACAGTGTCTGATTGTTCAATGGCTGTACTCATTGACCCACACATGGCCCATTCACCATGCTATCTGTCAGCCAAAAAGCATCATTTTACACTGTACAAGTTAGAGAACATCCAATCGAATGCACACTGTACATACATTCAGGTACAAACACTCCAGCTCCTTGGGATGTCCTCCCGACGTGAAAGGCGCTATACAAATGTAATCTTGTTGTTGTTAAAGGTACACACACATACCAGAACACACACATGCATTCATGAACATATGCGTACAAGAACACCCAGATATACACAAACATACACACCGGAGAGACTGGGAAGTTTTCAGTTAGAATAAAGCATGTTGAGGGTGATCTGGTATCTTTATAATGATGAGTTTTGGTAGAGTCAGTTGGGAGAAATTATTTCCATTGTTTGGCAGTCAGTGATTAGAGGGCATCAATTTAAGACAACGTCCACCTAAACTGGTAGATGGGATCAGTTTAATGTCTCATCTGAAAGACGGCACCTCTCACAATACAGCACTCCCCCACAACTGACATGGAGCGTCAGCATATGAATTTCAATTCACAATGTGAGGCTTGAACCCACAACCTTCTGACTCCGAGGTGAGAGTGCTGAGTAACTGAGCCAATAAATCACTTATTTCAAGACGACAACAATTACAGAAACTTGCCACACCAATAGTTTGTCTCACTGGCCTGCAGCAGCAAGGCTTTACTCCCCTCACTGTCAAACTCCTGTAAAGAGACAACTCAATTTGCCCAGGCCTCCACCTCCCCACTTACCACCATGTTGTAGGCTTCTGGGACGTCAGTTTCAAATTGGAACTGGCCACCCTGGTAATAACCCTCATCTGTGGAAAGATCAGATCACACAACAGTGTTACACAGCAAAAGAGATGAGAGATCACACAAACAGTTATCTCCCAGCTAAGAAATCGCTGACTGGCAGCCACAGATATGACGGCCTATTTAGGGTTAACCTGGTGCTGGGAGTTGTAGATTAGTCTATTAGCCCAGTGCTGGAGATGTATAATCTATTAGCCCAGTGCTGGGAGTGTACACCAGCCTGACAGACACAATCTCTGTGACAGACTTTCTTTCTCTCATGTCCATAGTTAATGTCTTCTGCAGATAATCTGAACACCAAAGAGTCAACTGTCAGACAGAAACAGAAGAGACGGGGGTGTCTAACAGTGAGTTGCCATGTGGAGAGTAAACGCTCTCTGCTCTTTCCTCAGCACAGCAAACGCTGACACTGAGGCCTCCAGATGCCCTCTCAATGATATAATGCTTACAGATAGTATTTGAGCTGCCAGTGAGTCAAGACTACATCAAAAAGTGCTCTCATTTCCCATGGGAATCTAAAGTCACCTGGATTCAGGGTGAAGTCCTGTAGCTCAGTGGTTAGAGCACTCGCCTTGCAAGCGAGAGGACCTGGGATCGATTCCCGTCAGGGCAAAACCTTAAGCAAGTTTCATTGCTCCACGCGCCTCTGTTTACCTAGCAGAAAATAGGAACCCGGTTGTTAGTCGATTGGTGGATCACTTTCCATGGGTAATAATTCCTTCAAAAAAATAATAGTAATAATTATAATTTGGTCACTCAATCCACGACTATTTGTAGGACTATGTGCAATTGGCTGCCACATTTCTCCTATAAAATATACAGTCAATTCACTTTACAGTATATTCTGTGAAGCACTTTGAGACGTCTTGAAGACGTGATAAGGCACTACATCAAATACAAGGATTATTATATTATTATCAACCTGAGTCATTGTGTCCAGCTCCCTCCACCTGCCCCCAAATATAATAATTCTTGCATTTGATATAGCGCTTTTCACGTCTTCTAGACGTCTCAAAGTGCTTCACAGAATAGACTGTAAAGTGAATTGACTGTATATTTGTGGGCGAACGCGGCAGCCAATTGCGCACAGCAATGTCCCACAAACAGTCGTGGATTGAAAATGACCAATTTATTATTGTTTTTGTTTTGGAGGGATTATTATTAGGCGTGTGGAGTAAGGAAACTTGCCCAAGGTTTCGCCCTGCCTTTGATTGAACCCTGGTGTCTCCCTTGCAAGGCGAGTACTCTAACCACTGAGCTACAGGACTCCACGGTCCAAATATGAATATATCCAATCCGTCTCACCCGTCACTACAGCCCAATGTAAAGTGACCTCTGTCCCCAAAGTGTGGTTGAAAATGTGTCATCTTCTGTGCTTTCAGCTTTGTGCCTTTGTCTTAAACTGGACTAAAAATAAGAGGGAATGGGCGAGTAGGAGACTCTGGGAAGGTGTTCCAGAGAGTGGCGGGGGTCGGGCATAAATGCCTGAAAGCTGATGGTGGGACGATTGAGTCAGGCAGGAGGCATGAAGCAGGCTGGTGTGTGCTAAGGGAAATTGTGGGGCTAGGCCATGGAAGGCGAGGATCTTGAATTGATTGTTGGGGGATCCTCACTCACTTCCAGCAGGTGTGTGTTTGGTTAGCAAGGCCTCCCCAACACTGCACTGTGAGTCTCTGCTCACTGTCCCCGGCTGAGAGCAGCTAATCTCAGTAACTGGGATGTGTTTTGGGGGAAAATACGTCAATGCAGTAATTGAGTCAGTGCTGGACCGAGTGATATCACTCTGGGGTAATCATGTGAGGATGAGCTGACAGATTTGCCAAAGGGACTGAGGCCAAAAACGCCTGGAACGATGTAGCTCAATCTCTGTATTCCTTTGTGAGGCAGAGGCAGAGGCTGGGAATGTGACTGTAAATAGCATGCTGAGCTCTCAGCTGGCTTGGCTCACTGCAATCTCATTTCACGCAGTAACATCTGCGTTTAACCATGGTGTCTGCATTTGCAGAGACAAGGCGGGTCAGCTTCATAGGATCTGCAGTGCTGCAGAGCCAGAGATTTGTACAGTCTCTAACGGACTGACTAGATCCCTGGTTCACCCCACCCCAACCAACCCCCCCGGACCAACCAAACACCCCCCACAAACTAACCGATCACCCAAAAAGTAACCGACCCCCACAAACCAACCGACAACCCCACAAACCAGTTGACAACCCCACAGACCAACCGACTGCCCCAAAGAACAACCGACTGCCCCCACAGACCAACTGACCCCCTCAAAAACCAACCGACCCCTCCGCAAAGCAACTGACCCCTCCGCAAACCAACCGATCCCTCCACAAACCAACCGACAACCCCACAAACCAACCGACGACCTAACAAACCAACCGACAACCCTACAAAGCAACCGACACCCCAAAGAACAACCGACTGCCCCCACAGACCAACTGACCCCCTCAAAAACCAACCCCCCCGCAAACCAACCGACCCCTCCGCAAACCAACCGACCCCCCACAAAACAGAAACAGACGTTTTCTTCACATTTTAGAACGTGCAAATTTTGGACGATATTTCAATTAAATCAAAGTCACTTTTCGTACATTTTTATAAATCCTGATAGTTGGGTGCAAAGATCAGGGCTGAATTTGGTCACTATTTGCTTTGTGCAACTGGCTGCTGAGTTTAACTCTCAAAATACAGTCAATCCAATTTACAGTATATTCCTTGAAGCGCTTTGAGACATCTCAACGACAATTTTTCCATAGAATCCACTAAAAACACCTTCCGCTAAAAATCTACAAAAATGTTTCCTTGGCCCCAGGCCTCTCCTGTTGTTTACTTGAGCGTGTTACTGTGGACAGAACAGCTGCAGCTGCGCATACGAAATGGGCTTCGCTCATACCGAGGCCCTGTTGCTGAGATTGTTGGTGTCTCTCTCTCCTTGTTGTATCTTTGTTTTTGAGTGTGTCTGTGTGAGCGTCTGTGTCTATGAGTTTATGTGTATCTCTCTCTGTCTATGAGTATGTTTGTGTGCGAGTGTGTCTGTGTGCAGTCGCGGCAGTCAGGATGATGATGAGCTTGGTGAGCAATGCTGGTGTTTGGCAGATTTCCAGGCCTTTCAACATAACGTGAGGTGGAAATGGACCATTCGGCCTTTGAGCCTGCACTAGTGTGTGTCCCCCCCGCTCTGTGGGCCACCCAGTCTTTGTTAAAGAAAGCATTAACAATTTTTTTTGCAGCAATCTAATATGTGTCATTTCTTCATGTTTAGTTTTTATCAATAAAAGTGAAAAAATGTAAGTTGCCAGTAAAATGTACCTCAATAGCATCAACCAACTCCTGCAAATTTGTGTCAAATGTCCCCGCAAGTTTTGTCAAATATTTCTGCAATTTTCTATTAGCTCTGGTGATCAAATGCAAGGATTAGTATTATAATTATTTGAAACATCTCTAAAATTTGCATGATATAAAATGCTTAAAAACAAGTCTGCCTGGAGCAGTGGTGACAACCGTTTTGGTCAGCAAAACAAATACATTTTCTTGATGGACTATTTCTTTATTGATGGCTGTGCCACGGGCGTCGCCACTCAGCAGCTCCTGGAAACAAAGTATTAATTTGGATCAGACTCAACTGGACTGGGGTGGTGTTCAGTGGCCACTTACAGCACACGGGCCATGGGTTGGTCCAGAGCTAAAGAATCATATCAGTGCACGTACAATCTCTAACAATGCTACTGGCTAAGTGCTCCTGAGCCTGAACGTGTGAGGGAGCTTGGGGAATGTCAGTATAATCAGTGGTGGTGTCTGGGAGCCTGACAGTGCAAGAGAGCTAACAGAACCACTTGAGACACTACTGAAGGTATGAATTCAGTTTGATGCATTTTAAGGAACAGCTTTCTAGAAGAGGACCTGTTTTTTAAAGTCTTTCCAAAATCAAGGTGGTTTTCGTGCTTGTTCCCCAGTGTTACTCTCTGTGCCAGTCAGAGAAATGACTTCTGTTACCCAGAGTGAGCACGGAGCTTTAGCAGAAACAATCATATCTGCTTGACAATTCTTCGCCGCTGTCTTTGCAGGAGTGCGTTGAGTCAGTATGAATTTCATTACTTTTCTCCTGAGAGGCTCAGAAACTTTGCATCACCACTAATGACCTGAACCAATAGAAAATGCAGAAATATTTGCCAAAAATTGCAGGGAAATTTTTGCCACACTTTGTGGAAAATTGCAAAGAGTTAATTAGTGCTATTGAGGTACATTTTACTGCCAACCTACATTTTTTCACTTTACTGATAAAAACAAAACATGAGGAAATAACACAGATTGTTACAAAAAAAATTAATTTCTTCTTTAACATAAACTGGGTGGCCCATTGCGGGGTGGGGGGTCACTCTTGCACTCTATCCTTAAATATAAATATAATATGTAAAACTGTACATAATATATATATATTTATATTATGTTCACATGTATGGGGATGCTGTACCTTTAAATGTCTCTGCTAACAAAACCTGCAGGGATTGCTGTCTGGACAGGATAAGGGTAAACGCCCCAGATTTAGTTTGCAACATCAATATGTAAGACCACATGTGCGGTTACGCGGGCAAAAACTTGTATTATTTATTGGGAGCTGGGTAGCTAAATAAGGCGATGCTCAGTTTACCTCGTGGTCACTAGCTTTTAGGTCAACATCTGGTACGTGAAGATCTTGTGGGACTACCATAGGGTCGAGAATGGTCTCTTTGTTTCTACAAACTTTAGTTTAAGTGCTGCTAGTATTACAGTTTAGAGTGATACTAGCGAAATCCATTTCCAGCTTTTGCCACACATGGGGGTCCGGAGCTGCTCCACCCACAGTTGCATCAGATACACAGCGCGAGAGGCCCAAGTGCCAGGAACTACATTTTTGGGGGGTTTGTAGTGGAGGAGAGTGTTTATAGCGAATTTCACGGAAAAATTGCGGACGCATTTTTCTATTGGCCAAGATCATCATCCCCATCCTTAAAAAGCTTTAAGTTTAAGCCTGGACCCATCCCTGCTCTCAAATTACCGCCCCATCTTCAACCTCCTTTCCTTTCCAAGGTCCTTGAACAAGTTGTTGCTTCCCAGCTTTGCTCCTTCCTCTCCCACCACTCCCTGTATGAAACCCTCCATTCGGGTTTCCATGCTGCCCAAAGCACAGAAACAGCCTTGGCTGAAGTGACAAATCACATTCTGTCCATCTGTTGACCCTCAATTGTCCTTCAAACCCCACATCCTGCCTTCCCCCACCTCCGCAACATCACCCGGCTCCGCCACTGCCTCTCCCCTTAGGCTGCCAACACTTAGCCATGCATTCATTCCATCCAAGCACAATTATGCTAAGTCCCGGCTTGTAGGTCTGCAACTCATGTCAGCCTCCAGCACCAGCCTCTGTCAACCCATCGCATCCATTCTCGTCTAGCTTCACATCCCCAGAGGATCAAGTTGAAAATTCAACTTGAAAATTCGATGTTGAAAGAGTGAATAATGAATTTTATTTGGAGAATGTTGGCCAGGACACGGGAGAGAGAAACTCCCTTCTCTTTTCGAATAGTGGCACGGGATCTTTGAATGTCTACCCGAACAAGCAGATGAGACCTCAGTTCACCTTAACACCACCTCCAGCACTGCAGCATCAGCCTGAATGGTGAGCTCAAAGAGTCAGAGCCTGAGTCACTAAATTCTGTGGGGCTTGAACACACAACCTTCTGATTCAGACTGTCAAAACAACACACAGTACCAGAGAATCACATCAACACCACAATTACTGAACACCAGTGAAGGCTGAGAGTGCAAAGTCATCGTTAGTGTGACCTTAAGATATGTAAAGTATTCCCGCCAGTCTAACCCACTCTCCCCTCCAGTCTAACCCACTCTCCCCTCCAGTCTAACCCACTCGCCCCTCACTCTATCCTCGCTACCCCAGTCTAACCCCATTCCCCACTCATGCCCCATTCTAACCCACTCTCCCCTTGCTGCCCTCAGTCTTACCCTACTCTCCCCGAGACTAACCTCACTCTCGCTTCTGTATCAGAAGATTGGGGATTCATTAATAATAAAAGCCCCTGGTTGGGATTTGGAAACCACATGCTGACACTCCAGTGCAGTGCTGGGGGATCGCTGTATTGCCAGAGGTGCCATCCTTTGATGAGACATTAAACTGAGGTCCTGTCTGGCTAGTGGGTAGTTAAAGGTCCCATGGCACTATTAGAAAAAAGGGAATTTCTCTCAAGTGTTCTGGCTAACAATCCCCCAGATAAAATTGATCATTGATTTCATGGTTGTTTGTGAGATGTCGCTGCGTGCAAATTGGCTGTCGCATTTGCCCACAAAATATACAGTCACTACACCTTACAATATATGATGTGAAGCGCTTTGAGATGTCTCAACAAGGTGATTAGGCGCTGTATCAAATGCAAGCATGATTATACATTATACAGTGGAATGTGCCGGTTAACCCCAATTTAAAATAGTTGTTAAAAGAAACAGAGGGGAGGTGAGGAGAAATGTTTTCACACAGCGAGTTGTTCGGATCTGGAATGCATTGCCTGAAAGGGTGGTGGACGCCGATTCCAAAACAACATTTAAGAGAGAAGTAGATAATTATTTGGTGAGGACAAGTTTGCAGGGCTATGGGGAGGGAGCAGGGGAGTGGGATTGAATTGGATAGCTCCTTTCAAAGAGCCGTCACAGACACGATAGGCCGAATGGCCTCCTGCGCTGTATAATTCTATCGTTCAATGATTCTAAGTCTATTATGAGGCACTTTATCAAAAGCCTTTTGAAAATCCATATAAATTACATCAACAGCACTACCTTCATCCACCCTCTCCGTTACTTCATCAAAAATTAGGTTTGTTAGACATGATTTGCTTTTAACAAACCCACATTGGCTGTTCTTTATTAACCCATACTTTTCTAAGTGAAAATTAATTTTGTCCCGGATTATAGTCTCTAGAAGTTTCCCCGCTACTGACGTTAGGCTGACTGGCCTGTAGTTCTCAAGTTTATCCTTCTGCCCCTTTTTGCACATAGGAAACCATTTTTGTACAGGGGAGTAACATTTGCAACCCTCTGGCACCACCCCGGTGTCCAAGGCGGATTCAAAGATTGTGACCAGAACATCCGTTATTTCCACCCTTACTTCCCTCAGTAACCTAGGATGCATCCCGTCCAGACCGGGTAACTTATATACTTTGAGCACCGACAACCTCTTTAGTACCTCCACTGTCATGATGAGCTTTCACAAAATGTGGAATGCAGGTGAATGGTCAAATTCAGCAACACTGGCAGTGTGTACTTTTCAGAGCCAGCTGCAACATTAGACAAGCTGGAGCTTGTCACGCCAGCCTCAGGCGTGTGTCAGCCTGGCTCAGTGGTAGTGCTACTGCCTCAGAAGGTTGTGGGTTCAAGCCCCACATCGGGATTTAATCGCATACTCTTCTAAGATGATCATATACTGCAGCACGGGGAGGGGGGGGAATGTCGCATTGTCAAAGGTGCTGTCTTTCGGGTGAGACATTAAAACTGAGCTCCCGTATGCTTGTTCAAATGGATATAAAAGCACCTGTTGCACAATTTGAGAAGGGAGTTTCGCTATGTATCCTGGCCAATAATCCCCCGAATAAGCAGTGGTCATTCATGTCATGGCTATTTGTGGGGTTTATTAATTATTAATAAAACAACTCAGAGGGGACCTCAATAATACTTTAAGATGACAGTAGAACAACAGATTTAGAGTTGTAAAGGGTAATTTCAGGACAAACACCAGGAAATTTTTCTTTATCCAGAGGGTATTTTACAACTGGAAAAAGTTACCAGGAAGGGTGGTTGAGGCCAGGATAAGAACACAAGAATTAGGAGCAGGAGTAGGCCATTCAGCCCCTCGAGCCTGCCCCGCCATTCGATAAGATCATGGCTGATCTTCAGACCTAACTCTGATTACCTGCCCTATCCCCAAATCCCCTAATCCCTCTGTTTTTTAAAAATCTATCAGTCTCAGCCTTGAAGATGTTCAAGGACTGAGCATCTACAGCCTTCTGGGGGAGTGAATTCCATGAATTCACTACCCTCTGAGTGAAGAAATGTTTCCTCAATTCTGCTCTAAAAGGCTGACCCTTAAGTTTAAGACAGTAACCCCTGGTTATAGATTCTCCTACCAGGGGAAACAGACCCTCAGTGTCTACTGTATCCGGCCCTTTAAGAATCTTTTATGTTTCAATATGTTTCATACTGGGACTCGTTTGAAAAGCAACTTGATGATGTGATGGGGGAAGATGGGATTTGTGGGACACTGCTGTGCCCTATTATATTACATAACAAAATTTGTGGGACACTGTGTTTCACCAACAAAATACACAATTGCCTCACTTTACAGTATATCCTGTACAACTGTTTTGCAGCCAGACTGAAAACGACAGAGGCAGCAAAGGACAAACAGTGAAGAGGCTCAGGGTCGAGGCACTGGTACAAAGTCGTCTCAACGACATGATACAGTGTTATATCAATCAAAAAGATTATTGTTAGGGTTGGATTTCTGTAGGGAAGAGATCAGAAGGGCCGAAGGGCTTTCTTCAACAAGAGTTTCTAAGGCTTGTTTGCTGCTCCAATGTAAAAGCAATTAAAAGGCCGTTGGGTTTGCCAAGAAGAGTGCAGTGTGGGACAGGGAGGGGAAGCAGCAGCAGCTCCTGGACAAAGTACAAAACAACTGCTCAACCACACAGTGAACTGTAACACTTTGATGTATAAAAACTTTACCAGATGGAGACATCAGGCATGAAGCAGCTAGGCATGAGGTTTAGATATTCCTCAAGTCAAATTGGGCAGCACTACTTCAAAGCAACATTTACATCCAGGCAGGAATTTGTTTGTTTGCCCAAGGCTCTCCACTGAAGCAACATTCAAATCAAAAATTGTAAACTAAATAAAGAGAGGAAACTTTAAAGGTGTTTGTACTCAACAGAGTGAGGGAAGGCAGCACTCAGACAAAAAACTTATGGGAGAATTATGCACAAGGCTTATAGAGATACAGTGAGTCAGAAATCATTTAGGAAAATTATAATATAACAAGCTTATGGCTTTTTAGATTGTAGTTTGAAACCAAGTTTCCTTGAAACAGTGTGGGATAAAGCATTTTCCCACAGCTCAACAAACTGTCAGCCCGGTTCAGTGAGTGTCAGCCTGACTCCCCGACACAAATGGGGAGCTGGTGGAGGTTACACAGGGAAGCAGGGGGGTGACACAGAGGGAAGCAGGGGGGTGACACAGGGGGAGCGGGAGTGTGTGTGACACAGGGGGGAGCGGGGGGGGTGACACAGGGCAGAGCGGGGGGAGGTGACACGGTGTGTGGGGGGGAGTCGGCTGTGCACACACTCTTGGCTCAGCGCTGCTGTGTTGGGAGAATGGTTACCTGGTGTGATGCACAGCTGGAAGGAATGGAGCTTGTTTGCGTCTGGGAAATCCAGTTTACACGTACCTGCGGAAACCAGGGGGGAGAAAGTAAATGTAGAAGCGTGTTGTTCCCAGGAATTAGTGGACAGAGCTATCAAGAAAGATTGGACATGTTGCAGCTGAGATGATTGAGTGGGGACCTGATCGAGGGGTTAAGAAAGGATTCGAAAAGATGGATGTTTTTAGGCTATTTTCATTGGTGGCGAGTCCAAAACAAGAGGGTATAAATATGATAGAAAATGTATAGGGAAGAAATTCTTCACATAGATTTACTAAGTATTGAAACAGACCATTGGCTCTACCAGGCCTTGCCTGTGTTTACTCTCCAGGCGAGTCTTCACCCATTCCTTACTTCAACCCATATCTTTCTATTCCCCTCTCCCTCATGTGAAGGTCTCGTCTCCTGTTGAATGCATCTACACTATCTGATTCAACCACCACTTCAGGCAGCGAGTTCCTCATCTTCACACCTTTCTGCGTGAAGTAGTTCTTCCTAAATTCTCGATTTACATCCCCTAGTCTGTCCTTTTGTATGGCCTTATCTACCTGTTGCTACTTTTAGAGATTTGTGGTTCTGAATCCTCAGATTTCTTTACTCCTCTTAGGCTCCTAACATCTGAGCTTTCGACGGCTTCTTTATTTTTTTTTACCAGTTGTGGGTAGTGAAAATGTGGAATTCACTGCTGGAGCCCATGGTTGAAGTCAGGGTTATCCTCAGGGGAGAAGGGAATAGAGGAGTAGAGGAGAGGGGTGTGGTACAAAAACCAGCAGAGACTATTTCTGTGCTGCACTGCTCTATGTAAGAGCCTGGGTCAAATAATGCAATGAGCCAACCATTACTGCTGGTTACATGGTGGTATTAGTACAAGGACACACACCGTCTATTAGTTTCCAATCCCCTGTGCCCAACTCAGGGTGAGGGTAGGGATGAAACCAGTGATACAAATGGCCATCTCTCCAGAACTGAGTTGTTTATAGAGTTGGGAGAGCAGCTTGAAGGCTGTTGTGGGTGCCAGGAGACGATCAAACACTGCACAGGAGATGCCAGTGTTAAATAGAGGGTCACAGCACTGAGCCACGTATTGTTAGTGACACTATCATCATTATCCAATTTTACACCCTACCTTTGACTAACCCTTTATTCTTTATAGGCTTATAAAATACCCAGTCGAGCCTAAATGTGATGAATATGTGGATGACAATTTCAGTGGCCTGAGAGGTGAGGCAGTGGTAGAGTTGGACGATGTTGCGGAGGTGGGGGAAGGCAGAGCGGGTCATGGTACGGATGTGGGGGAAGAAAGGGCAGTTAATGGTTAAACAAGACGCCAAGTTTCCTGTCTGGCTGTGTGAGGTGGAGTGTGTATCTGTTGATGGTGATACTGCCAGTGCCTGAGGTGTGGAGGCGCCGAGGTTTGGCAATCAGGAGAGCGTTGGTCTTGTTGACGTTCAACTGTAGAAAGTTAGCTCTCTTCCAGGACTTGATGTCTGACAGACATTCTGTCAGGACAGCAGTGGTCCTGGAGTCAAGGGTGGAGGCAGAGAGGTACAGTTAGGTGTCATCCGCATGACCCCATTCAATATCTACATGCTCACTCTTGATGACCCCATGCGAATGCGGGGACTGGAGGAGAAGCTGTTTGAGACAAAGTGGAAAATGGTGTGAGAGGTTTATATCTGAACCATTCAAGATTGAGATGAGCGGAAAGGCAGTCGAGCAGGATAGAGTGGTCAACAGTATCAAAGGAGGACGAGGAGACAATGGGAGCCCTGGTCACAGATGGACAGAATGTGATTTCGCACTTTGACCAGGACTGTTTTTGTGATGTGGGCAGCCTGGAACCCCGAATGGAGGGATTCGTATAGGGAGTGGCAGGAGAGGAAGGAGCGAAGCTGGGAAGCAACGAGTCATTCAAGGACCTTGGAAAGGTTGAAGATGTGGTGGTAATTTGAGAGCAGAGATATAATAATAATAATCCTTGCATTTGATATAGCGCTTTTCACGTCTTCTAGATGTCTCAAAGAGATGGATCCTGGGAAGGTTTTTTTGAGGATAGGAGTGATGACGGGGTGGGAACAGTGCCAGTGGACAAGGAAGAGGTTGATGAGGTCTGTGAGTAGAGGGGCAAAAAGGTGGAGCTGGGAGGTAAGGAGAGGGGTCAAGGGAGCAGGTGATGGGATAGCCAACAAGGAAATGGGAAGGTTGGGAGAAATGTTTTCATGCACAGAGCAGTTGGGATATGGAACACCCAGCCCGGAGAGGTGGTTGAGTGAAAACCCAGGTTGGCCTTTAAAAGGAAATTAGACAAAGAGTCAGCTGCAGGGATGTGGGATAAGGGCAGGTCAGAGGGACTGAAAGGATTGCTCTTGAGGGAGCAGCACAGAAACGATGGGCCAAATTGCCTTATTCTGTGCTGTAAATTTCTAGGGTTTTAATACACAGGCCCATGTGGCTGGGAGAGTAAACACAACAACAAATTATATTTGTTTAGCATCGTCGGGAGGATGTCTCAAGGGGCTGAGACACAAAGCCCCGAGAGGGTAACATTACATGCATTGTTCACTGAGTAAAAAGCAAGAGATACTTACTGGGCAGGTTTGCTTCAAGCTCTGCAACCTCTGGTGGGAGGAAGAGGAGACAATATTAAGGTGGAATTTAAACCTCCCAGTGATTACAGATATAATCAAGAATTACAAGCTCACAAACCTGACATTCAGACTAACTAGTCTATGGTTATACTCCACACAACGCCATCCCTCCTATCCCCTCTCTCACACCCCTCCTATCCCCTCTCTCACACCCCTCCTATCCCCTCTCTCACACCCCTCCTATCCCCTCTCTCACACCCCTCCTATCTCCTCTCTCACACCCCTCCTATCCCCTCTCTCACACCCCTCCTATCTCCTCTCTCACACCCCTCCTATCCCCTCTCTCACACCCCTCCTATCTCCTCTCTCACACCCCTCCTATCTCCTCTTTCAAATCCCTCTCTTGCGTGCTAAAGCTCAGGCTCCTTTCTTCCACCGTCACTGCGAGGTCAGACTGCGCCACTCTGAGGCAAAAAGAGACACGCCTTTCACGTTGGAAGAATGTACCAAGGCGCTTGACAGTCAAGGATTTAGACATGAGCCAGGGTTCTGATCAGGAGGGGTGGCAGGCCGGGAGGGTACAGGTAGGAGGGTGACTAAAGGTGCGATCCAACAGCACCGTTTACTAACAACAAAGTTAGTGTCACTGACAGCCACAGCTGCTCGGTGGCCAGTTCCAGGCAGGATTCCCCATTAGCCACGGCCCTGGCCCACAAGAAACTAAACTCCTCTACCCAGCCTCAGCTTTGTGGGTGCTGCATCAGTTAGTTATCACCCTATGGCACAGTGTACATCCAGCCCCAACACCAGCGCCAGACAGCAGCTAGGTGAAGAGCCCGCAGTTTCATAGCAGAACATTTTGAAAATGTTTTACAGAAATAGTATCAAGTGTAGTGACTGTTATACGGGCAAACACAGCAGCCAATCTGTGCACAGCAAAGTTTCAACCGGCCAGGTGGCGAATGACCAGTCTATCCTAGGATTGTTGACCAGGACACGGGGAGAAACTCTCTTTTCTTTTCCAATAGTGTCACAGGATCTTTAACATCCACGACTGTATCTTCCAGTTATCTTTCGCCGCCAACCTTACAACTACCCCGGGAACAGCCAGGGCTTGCAGCACAGTGTGACTACTCTAAAGGTGGTGGCGTTGTGCTCACAAGTTTGAATGGGTTTAATTCGATGTTCGGGCCTCTAACATTCGGCCAGTAACAGCACCTCAAAACGATGCAAATTACACAGCAAGGCAAATCAAATCCACACAGCATCCCCAAAATGGAATACTTTCTGCTGGCAGAGAAAAGGAGGGACAGATTACTGACCTTTGGCAATCGTTACACCCTTTAAATCAATTGTAAGTCTCCTGGGAGGTCATTATACATTATATTTTGCCCACAATATACAGTCAATTCACTTTACAGTATATTCTGTGAAGCGTTTTGAGACGTCTAAAAGACGTGAAAAGCGCGATATCAAATGCAAGGATTATTATTATTATAGAAATAACTGCTTTGTTATTGCAAAGTAACTCTAACATTACCCTAAGCACATTGCCACATTGCTTCTGCGGTGTTTAAAATAAACCTTAAGAAAAGCCAGATGGGCCGACATAAAAGTAGATTTCCTTGGCCACACTGTCTCGGGTAGGTCTCTTGGAGGGTTATCTACATAAAAATAGAAAAATTGTGACTCCTAAAAACAGAAAACAATTGCAAGGAATTGTGGAGCTGTGTAATTATGCCTGCAATTATGTGCTTAACTCTTCTGTGCTGGTAAGACCTTTATATCAAAGGCTCACAAATGCAGGGGAGATAGAAGGCAGTGCAGATCTTGACCACATGCAGTCGGAGGTATCTTGCCATCTTGCAAGATGCCATCTTGCAGGGCTGCCCGCTAGCACTTAGAATTTGAAATGACCTTTTGGTATTGTTGCAAGTGGGGGATGAATCCGCGATAGTAAAGATCTATCAAGAGGGGGAATCAATTTCTCTTAAATACATTAGTTTCCAAATCCAATTTGAGTTTCACACTTGGTTATTAGCGAATTTGGAGTCAGTGAGCGAGCAAAAGTGAGTAGCGAGCAAGTGAGTGAACGAGTGAGCAAATCCGTAAGCAAGTGTGAAGAGTGAGCACCAGAAAGCAGATGCCATTGAGTGAGAGAGAAGGAGGGTGGGAGAGAGGGAGAGAGAGAAAGAGAGGGAAGGGAGAGAGAGAGAGAAAGAGAGAGGGAGAGAGAGAGAGGGGTGGGGGTGAGAGGGGGGAGAGAGAAGAAGGGAGGGGAGAGAGGGGAAGGGCAAGGGGCCGACAGAGGGGAGAGAGAAGGGGGTTAAAGAGGGAGAGAGGAGGATTAGAGGGGAGAGAGGGTTTAGAGGGGGTTAGAGGGGGGAGATTGAGAGAGGGTGATTGAATGAGAGTGATTGAGCGAGAGTTTGAGAGGGGATAGAGAGAGTGTGTGTAGGAGTGAGAGAGTAATTGAGAGAGGAAGAGTGTGTGGGACAAAGGAGGAAAGAGGGGAGGGAGTGATTGAGAGGGGGAGGTGGAGTGTGAGAGGTAAGAGAGAGTCTGAGAAGTAAGAGAGAGTGTGAGAAGTAGAGTGAGAGAGTAACTGAGAGTGTGTGTGCGAGAGAGTGAAAGAGGAGAAAAGACGAGAGCGTCCTCATCCCCCTCTCCACCTCACCTCCCCCCGCTCTGTCCCCCTTCTCTGTCCCCCCTCTCAATCCCTCTCCCTCCCAATCAGCTGTGTGGGTCACTATCTGCAGCAGCAGGACTACATTGCTAAGGACGCGTTTGGTAGGAGACGCGCTTGCCTTCCTGACAGGCTGCAGTAACGGCCGGTATTACTTCCACTCTCTGCGCTGTGTCCTCCCAACCGCCGGCTCCTGTTGCTGCACTGGGAGGACGTTCACCAGGGAGGGAGGGAGTGGAATGTTGGAAATGGTCTTGGGCCGGATAACATCACCCGCCGGGCTGGATGTGGCCCGCGGGCTGCCAGCTGGCCCAGGCTGGATGCGGCCTGCGGACATTTCTCAAATAGGAAATCTGGCCAGCGGCAGCCAAAAGGATGGTCCACCCTGACTTAAGTGTCAGTGACAAGATAAGAAAGACTTTACTGTCATCAGAACTTTACTGTATTTGTTTTTACTGACGTACGCCGCTCCTGCTTCATGCTGTCCATCTGAAGATGAGAAATGCCACGAACGTAGTGCCCAGTAGCTGGACAAACACACTCTTAGCAAACATCAACTCATACATTCTTCCTCTTCATTTGCTACATTCATTCCACACTCCTAAAAGGAGGCAGCGGTCGTTCTTTTGATCATCCCAAGGAGCTTCCCAAGGAGCTGTGAGGTTAGGACACATGCTCTCTCCCACACACCACACACAATCTACTCACTACATCACCTCCTCGTCAAGCACATAAGAGACAAAGGTACGCCTACAAAATACAGTCTCCACTTTACATTCTATCCTTTGAGTGCTTCAAGATGTCAAATGCATGATATCAAATGCAAGAATTATATTTTTACAAGTACTCTTGAGTTGGCAGGAAACCTTTGAGGCCATGCAAGTAATCTTGAATCACACTCTTCACACTCTGAGGTTACACACGGCAAGTGTCCCAAAAAAAGAACATTCTGTGCTCGCTTCACCTTCCAGTTACATGAACAGATTACCAAATTGCACATCAAACACATAAACAAATCACAACTCATCTCAGTGACAGCACCATAGTCAACAGACACCAGGCTGAGATGGGTGAGGAGTGGGGTGGGCAGGCCTTGTGGGTTTAGGAAGTGACTTGAGCTGTGAAATGATCCAGAAGAAGCAGAAATCTGATGGAAATATGCCCATTGACAAAGAAAATATTAAAAAAAAACTCATAGACCAGAAGAAAAACAGGAGAACGGAAAGGGACAGTGATCTTTCAGTATTGCATTATTTATCAGGTCACATTTCACTCTCTTCGCTAATCATTTCTCAAATTGTCACATGACCTCATTTCACCAGCTTGCAGCATATTCTGATCTTTTCAATGACAGAATCAATTCCTCCCCACATCAGCTGGGTTCGAGAGTAAAGCTCCTCTACGCTGTCTGTCCACACTCCCAGCTCAGCGACAGCACAGGTTACAGAGAGAGTAACGCTCCCTCTACAACGTCCATCTAGCCTCCCAGCTCTGGTCGCTGTAGCACAAAAAGGACATGGGAGAAATCGAGAGGACAGAGAAGGGGAACCAGAATGATTGAGGGAATGAAGGGACTGGACTATGAGGAGTGACTAAGTAAATTGGGTATGTTCACGCTGGAAGAGAAGATTGAGAGGCGACATGATTGCTGTCTTTAAGATTCTAAAGGGGTAAGACAATATAGATCAGGACAGGCTGTTTCAACTAGTCCAGAATAGTAAAATCAGAGGACACAGCCTGCACTTGAAGGGGGGTAAATTCAGAGGGAATCTATGGAAACACTATTTCAGTGAGCGAATAGTGAATTTGTGGAACAGGCTCTGTAGGGAGACGGTTGAAGCAGGAAGTGTTGAGTCTTTCAAACACAGATTAGATAGTTTTCTTTTAGGAAATAACATTATGGGATATAGTACATAGGTAGTTCAGGACATATGTGCATGCAACCACCAGGAAGGTGGAAGGCGAACTACATGCACCTTGGTCTTTTTGTCTAGCATTTCTTATGTTTTTATGTTCCCAATACTGTGATTATCAGTCTTGCAAAGATAAATCTTACGTTTTATAGGATTAATCAAAGAGATACTTTGACTTTGAGTGAAGATCAATTCACTTTTCAGTATATTTTGTGAAGCACTTTGAGACGTCTCAAAGACGTGATAAGGCGCTGTATGAAATCCAAGGATTATTATTATTTAAACAGTTCAGTCACAGAGCAATCCTAATAGAAGGTTCAGACTGTCGCCAATTTGCATTATGATAATAATCCTTGCATTTGATATTTGATATCAAGGCTTATCAATGATTCGCAGCAGAGTCGGTATCAATCGGCAGAGGATTGTCAGTGATATGGGCAGAGAGTGGGATTTATAATGAACAATGAGAACACGCACAGTCAAAACTTTCTGTGTCTAACATGTGACCCTGGAGCTTATCATTCCTGGTCAGGCAACAGGGCACCACTGATGGATTGGAGCTAGATGATTAGAATGAGACTGAGTTCATAGAATCATAGAATTATACAGCAAGGAAGGAGGGCATTTGGCACATCGTGTCTGTGCTGGCTCTTTGAAAAGAGCTATCCAAATCAATCCCACTCCCCCGCGCTCTCCCGCCCCATAGCCCTGAAAACTTGTCCTCCCCAAATAATGATCTACTTCTCTCTTAAAAATTGTTAACGAATCAGCTTCCACTCCCTTTAGGCACTGCATTCCAGATCCGAACAACTCACTGTGTGAAAATATTTCTCACCTGCTCTCTGTTTCTTTTATATTTTCTCCTTGTTCACTATCAAATCCCCTCATAATCCTGAAAACTTTCATTAAATGTCCTCTTAAACTTCTCTGCTGCAAGGAGAAGAATCCTCGCTTCTCTCGCCTCTCCACATAACTCAAGTCCATCAACCCTGGTACCATCCTGGTAAATCTCCTTTGCACCCTCTCCAATGCCTTGACATCCTTCCTAAAGTGTGGGGCCCAGAACTGAACACAGTCTCTGGCTGAGGACTAACCAGTGTTTTATAAAGGTTCATCATAACTTCCTGACTTTTGTATTCTCTGCCCCTATTTATAAAGCCTAGTATCCCGTGTGCTTTTTTAACAGCTTTATCTACCTGTCCTGCCACCTTCAAATATTTAGGTATATGACCCCCAGGCCTCTCTGTTCCTTCACCCCCTTTAAGATTGTACCATCGGCTTATATTGCTCTCCTCATTCTTCCTCCCAAAATGCATCAGTTCACATTTCTCCACATTAAACTTCATCTGCCACCTGTCGGCCCATTTTACCAGTCTGGCTATGTCCCTTTGCAGTCTGATACTATCCTCCTCACTGTTTACTGCTTTTCCAAGCTTATACATCGTATACATGATACACATGCTTATACATGATACATCTGCAAATTTGGAAATTGTACTCCCTATACCCAAGTCCAGGTCATTTATATAGATCAAAAACAGCAGTGGTCCCAATACTGACCCCTGGGGGTCACCACTGCAGACTTCCTCCAGTCAGAAAAACAACCATTCACCACCACTCTCTGCTTTCTGTCTCCCAGCCAGTTCAGTATCCAGGCTGCCACTGACCCTTTAACATCGTGGGCTTCTATTTTGCTTACAAGTCTCCAAGGTGACAATTTATCAAACGCCTTTTGAAAATCCATATAAACTACATCAACTGCACAACCTTCATTCACCCTATAATAATCCTTGTATTTGATATAGCACTTTTCACGTCGGGAGGACGTCCCAAAGCGCTTTACAGAATATACTGTAAAGTGAAACACTGTATATTTGTGGGCGAACGCGGCAACCAATTGCGCACAGCAGTGTCCCACAAACAGTTGTAGATTGAAAATGACCAATTTATTATTGTTTTGTTTTGGTTGGAATGGGTATGTACAGGAGCTGGACAAGTGACCTCAGACTTGAAACCTGCTGGCAGAGAGTTCTGCACCTCGCTTCTTTTTTGTTGTTCTTGCTCTTTGCTCCTTTCAGCTCCATCTTGACTTGATCCTGGAGTTGGGAGAATAGGCTTGGGAGATGCGCAAAGCCTTATCCTTCCCGTCATCCTTCAGCAGGGTAGTTTTGCCGTCCCGGGTAAGTTTCTTCAGTTTCTCGGCAGCGCCTGCTCTGGACACTTTGTCAGGTTTGTTAGACATGATTTGCCTTTAACAAATCCGTGTTGATTGTCCTTTATTAACCTATATTTTTCTTAGGGAAAATTTATTCTCTAGAAGTTTCCCCACTAATGACGTTAGGCTGACTGGCCTGTAGTTCCCGGGTTTATCCTTCTGCCCCTTTTTGTACAGGGGAGTAACATTTGCAACCCTCCAGTCTTCTGGCACCACCCCGGTCAATGTCCAAGGAGGATTGAAAATTTTGGCCACAGCCTCTGTTATTTCCACCTCAGTGACCTAGGATGCATCCTGACCGGACCAGGTGACTTATCTACCTTGAGCACCGTCAACCTTTTTTGCACCTCCTCTCAGTTTATTTTCATCTTATTCTACTTCTCTACGCTCTCCTCTCTCTCCCAGCCCACTATGCAACTTGATTGTCCTGTCTGATGCTACATCCTGATTCCCTTTCCTCTTCCAAATTAGTTTAAACCCTTCCCCACAGCACTAGTTAACCTCTCTGCGAGGATGTTAGTCCCAACCCTGTTCAGATGCAACCCATCCACCTTGTACAGGTCCTACCTGCCCAAGAACTGGGCCCAATTATCCAGGAACCTGAAGCCCTCTTTTTGCACCATTTCTCCAACCATGCTTTCATGTGTTTGATCCTGCTGTTTTGATACTCACTTGCACGAGGCACTGGGAGTAATCCAGAGATCACCACCTTTTGAGGTTCTACTCTTTAGCTTTCTCCCTAGTTTCTGATGCTCTCCCTGTAGGTTCTCAGCCCTTTTTTTCCCTACGTCATGGATCCCAACATGGACTATGACTTCTGGATGCTCCGCTTCCCCCTGTAGAACGTTTTGCATCTGATCCATAACATAACATGTAGGAGCTGGAGTAGGCCATTCGGCCCTTCGAGTCTGCCCCACCATTCAATCATGGCTGATCTTCTAATCTAACTTCAGCTAATACCATAACACTGCCTTATCCCCATATCCCTTAATCCCTTTTGCAATAAGAAACCTATCTATCTCAGTCTTGAATATGTTCAAGGACTGAGCGTCAACAGCCCTTTGGGGTAGTGAGTTCCATACATTCACTACCCTTTGAGTGAAGAAGTTCTTCCTCAACTCAGTGCGAAAGGGCTGCCTCTGATTTTAAGGTTGTGACACCTGGTTTTAGTTTCTCCAACCAGGGAAACAATCTCCCACTATCTACTCTATCATGCCCTTTGATGATCTTATATATAGAATATAGGCTCAAATTGGTCAGCCTATCCTCGTAACTTATCCCCTTCATCCCTGCTACTAACCTAGTAAATCTACGCTGCACCCCTTCCAAGGCAAGTACATCCTTCCTTAAATAAGGAGACCAAAACTGCACACAGTATTCCAGGTGTGGTCTCACCAGGGCCCTATACAGTTGCAGCAAGACTTCACTACTCTTATAGTAATAATAATAATCCTTGCATTTGATATAGCGCTTTTCACATCGGGAGGACGTCTCAAAGCGCTTCACAGAACACACTGTAAAGTGAATTGACTGTATATTTGTGGGCGAACGCGGCAGCCAATTGCGCACAGCAATGTCCCACAAACAGTCGTAGATTGAAGATGACCAATTTATTATTGTTTTTGTTTTTTTGGAGGGATTATTATTAGGTGTGTGGAGTAATGAAACTTGCCCAAGGTTTCGCCCTCTGCCTGGAATTGAACTCAGGTCTCTCGCTGGCAAAGCGAGTGCTCTAACCACTGTGCTACAGGACTCCACTTATACTCTAATCCTTTCATAATGAATGCTAACATACCGTTCGCCTTCCTAATTGCTCACTGCGCCTGCAGACTAACTTTCTGTGATTGGTGTACAAGGACACCCAAGTCCCTCTGGACGCTAACACCTTCCAATCTTTCCCCTTCTAAAAAATAACCTGCTCTACTGTTTTTGCTACCTAGGTGGATGACTTCGCAATTCCTTACATTATACTTCATCTGCCACCTACCTGCGCAATCACCTAACCTATCTATGTCTCGCTGCATTTTTTTAATGTCATCCTCTGTGTTGACACTTCCTCCTAGTTTTGTGTCATAAAACTGATGTCTTCAACCCTGGAACCAGGAAGGCAACATACCATGCGAGTCACGTCTTTGGTTGTAGAAACGCCTGTCTACTCCTTTCATCGTTGTGTCCCCAATGACAATTGCATTGACACTCTTCCCTGCGTCCCCCTGTGCATCCATTTACTTTTTACTCCCCTCCCCAGAGATGTCATCACCCTCACCGCTATTCAGTACAGAGGACTGGTTTGTGAGTGCCACACACTCAGGGGATTTCTGCACTGCCCGTCCCCTCGTCCTACCATGCCGGGTGGTCACCCACTCACTCTCCTTCTGAACCCCTGTGGCTGTGGGGTGACCACCTCCTGAAACATTCGATCCATGAACTCTTCAGTCTCCTGCGTGCTCCTGTAGTGACACCAATCTCTCCTCGAGCTCAGAAACCCTGAGCTCAAGCTTGAGCAGCCGGAGGCATCCTGGAGTTCCCACATGGCACACACTGTGCATGCAACTGGTCTCAGCTGCACTGCCATATTCTATATTATTTTGATATAACTATTATATGTTTTATAATTATGCACCTCTTTCCCTCTCCACTGAATTCCCACTTTCACCAAATTCATTAACAGACTTCTTACTCTGTTCTATCTCACTTAGTTCCCTCCTCACTCTGCTAGGCTCTCTGCTCGAGTTGTTTAAATCCACCCATCTGAACTGAGGGCTCAAAAGACAACTTCCAAGAATGCACACAATCTTGGACCAGAAACAAAGGTTTGTCTGCGTTCAAACCAGAGGAACAGAAATCGTTAATCAGCTTCACAAAAACATGGAAAGGGACCAGGGCTCTCTGTGATTAGTCAATAATAAACCTAGGCTCTCTGTGATCAACAGTAATCTTGTGGTCAGTCAATAGTAAACATGTGGCCTACAGTACAATTTCCACTTAATGTATCCACAAAGGGCTCGTCCCAGGAGTGCAGGGGAGTCAGTTGAATCTCAGTGAATGGGTTGGACTCATTTGCAGCTCCTTCAGTCTTGTAACTTCTCCATCCTATTGTGCACAATGTCAGTAGTTTGTGCAGTGTCAGAAAGCCAGACAGTCCAAAGAGAAGACATACCTTTGATGAGAAGTTTATCCCTGATGGAGATACGGCGAGTGGAATCTAGGCTTTGGTTATTGGTTCCTCTTCCTTTCACACCTTCTTCCCGTTTCAGCTTTTTGGCTAATGTCAACATGACTGCTGTCCTTTCGCTGACCTACAAACACATACATAAAGGTTCACAAAAGCAGCCCAGATCAGGTGATAGATAACACTTATATGAAGCTGAACTAAAGATAATACTCTTTGTAATTAGATAAGCCGGATGAGTTCCTCCAGGGAGAGAGTAAAAATTCCTTTACAACAAATATCCCTGGATTTTCCATGTATAGGTGAGATGCATGGAACTCTGTTTGGGTTGGATACTATTTAAGCGAGAGAGGGCGGGAGGACGAAGGAGGAGAGAGAGAGACACTGAGATCGGGGTCGAGAGAGAGAGAAAGAGACACTGAGATTGGGGTCAGAGAGAGAAAGAGACACTGAGATTGGGGTCAGAGAAAGAGAGAGAGAGAGAGAAACACTAAGATTGGGGTCACAGAGAGAGAGAGAGACACTGAGATCGGGGTCAGAGCGAGAGAGAGAGAGACAGAAACTGAGATTGGGTTGAGAGAGAGAGAGAGAGACTGAGATTGGGTTCAGAGAGAGAGAGAGAGAGAGACACTGAGATCGGGGTCAGAGAAAGAGAGAGAACACTGAGATCAGGTTCAGAGAGAGAGAGAGACTGAGATCGGGGTCAGAGAGAGAGAGAGAGAGAGACAGACACTGACATCAGGGTCAGAGAGAGAGGGAGACACTGAGATTGGGGTCAGAGAGAGAGAGACACTGAGATCGGGGTCAGAGAGAGAGAGAGAGAGAGACAGACACTGACATCAGGGTCAGAGAGAGAGGGAGACACTGAAATTGGGGTCAGAGAGAGAGAGACACTGAAATCGGGGTCAAAGAAAGAGACACGGAGATTAGGATCACAGCGAGAGAGAGAGAGAGAGAGAGACACTGAGATCAGGGTCAGAGAGAGAGAGCGACACTGAGTTCGGGGTCAGAGAGAGAGAGAGACACTGAGATCGGTGTCAAGAGAGAGAGAGAGAGACACTGAGATCAGGGTCACAGAGAGAGAGAGAAAGAGAGAGACACTGAGATCGGGGTCAAAGAAAGAGACACCGAGATCGGGGTCAGAGCGAGAGAGAGAGAGAGAGAGAGACAGAAATTGAGATCGGGTTCAGAGATAGTGTGAGAGAGAGAGAGAGAGACTGAGATCGGGGTCAGAGAGAGAGCCAGAGAGAGTCATTGAGGCCGAGGTCAAAGAGAGAGAGAGATACTGAGAGCGGGTCTGAGACTGGGACTTACAATCTTACATTGCCAGACATCCCTGCCTACAGTTCATCATCCACCCAATCTGCATCACGGTGCACTGAGCTAATTTTAATTCATGACGTATACATACGTACACACCAACAACAACAACAACAAGGTTTCATTTATAGAGCGCCTTTCACGTCGGAAGGACGTCCCAAGGCGTTGGACAGTTGGGTCAGGACCCGAGCGTTGGGGGGAAATGGTCAGGGTGAGGGGAGGGAAGGGAGGGGGCGAGGAGGGGGTAGAGAGTCGAGAGGAGAGCTGAAGGCACGGTCAAAGAGAAAGGTCTTGAGACCGGCCTTGAAGGAGGAAAGGGAGGAAGCGGCGAAGGCACTGGGGGATAGAGTTCCAGAGCATTGGGGCTGAGAGGCTGAAGGCCCGGCCACCGATGGTAGGGCGGTTGGGGCGGGGGATGTGGAGCAGACCGGAGCCAGAGGAATGGAGGGTACGGGCAGGTAGGTAGGGGGATAGTTGGTCGGAGAGGTAGGAGGGAGCGAGGCCGTGAATGGCCTTGTAGGTGAGGATGAGGATCTTGAATTCGATCCTCTGGGGGATGGGGAGCCAGTGGAGGCGAGCGAGGGTGGGAGTGATGTGGTCGCGGTGTCTGGTGCGGGACAGTACACGAGCTGCAGAGTTCTGAATGACCTGTAGTGTGGAGGGAGGTGGCGGGAAGGCCGGCGAGGAGAGAGTTCCCATACTCCAGCCTTGAGGTGATAAAGGCGTGGACCAGTTTCAGCCGAGTGAGGGGTGAGGTAGTGCCGTAGTCTGGCAATGTTTCAGAGGTGATGGAAGGCGGTGCCAGTTGTGGTGAGGATATGAGGGAGGAAGGACAGCTCAGGGTCGAACAAAACGCCGAGGTTCCTGACCGGCTTTGAGAGGTGGAGAGTGCAGCCTTGGATGCTGATGCTGTCAGCACCTGAGGTGCGGAGGCGCTGACGTGAGCCAATCAGGAGGGCCTCAGTTTTGCGCACATTGAGCTGAAGAAAGTTGTCTCTCGTCCAGGACTCGATGTCGGACAGGCAGCTGTCAGGACATCGGTGGTCGTGGAGTTGAGAGTAGAGGAGGAAAGGTAGAGTTGGGTGTCATCTGCATACATGTGGAAGTTAACCCCATGTCTGCAGATGATGTCACCGAGGGGGAGCATATAGAGGGTGAAGAGGAGGGGACCGAGGACAGAGCCCTGAGGGACACCGTACGAGACAGTGCGGGGGCCGGAGGAGAAGCCGTTTGTGGAAACAAACTGAAGATGGTGGGAGAGGTACGACCTAAACCACTCAAGGACAGGGCCTTGAAGGTTGAGGTGGGATGACAAGCGGTGGAGGAGGATAGCGTGGTCGACCGTATCAAATGCAGCCGATAGGTCGAGGAGGACAAGGAGGCAGAGGGAGCCCTGGTCGCAGATAGTCAAGATGTCAATAGGTACCTTGACCAGGGTGGTTTCCGACCCGACTGAAGGGGTTCAAATAATGAATGGGTGGAGAGGAAAGAGCGCAGCTGGGAGGCGACGACTTTTTCAAGGACGTTGGAGATGGGTCGGTAGCTTGATAGCTGCGATGCATCAAGGGAGGCCCTATTCTCACACGATACACACATTTCTAGCACAAAGTCTCTGGATATTGACCACGAACACAGCCTGACTCTTTTCCCCCTCCTCTAACAAATGCCCTTTCCTACCCTTTCTACCTCCTTCCTCCCCTCCAATCTGCAGCCTCCCACTTTATACTAAAAATATTGTGGAGTCCTGTGGCATATTGACTAGAGCACCTGCCTTCCAAGCAAGACGACCTGGGTCCAACTCCCAGGCAGGGCGAAACGGTAGGCAATTTTCCTTACTGCACATGCATCTGTTTACCTAGCAGTAACTAGGAACCTGCTTGTTTTTTGATTGGCAGATCACTTTTCCTGGGTAATAATCACTCCCAAAAAAATAATATAATAATAATTTGTTCACTCAATTCCTGACTGTTTGTGGGACACTGCTGTGTACAATTGGCTTCCGCATTTCGTCCACAAAATATAGTCACTTCACTTTACAATATATTCTGTGAAGCGCTTTGAAACAACAAATTACATTTGTATACCACCTTTCACGTCCGGAGGACACCCCAAGGCGCTGGACAGTCAGGGATCCGCACTCGAGCTGGGGGTCAGGATCAGGAGGTGTGAGGTGGGGTAGGGAGATGAGGTCAAAGAGGAGGGTCTTGAGATGGGTCTTGAAGGAGGCAAGAGAGATAATGCAAAATTCCCAGCAAGCACGTTATTCGAGGAATAAGAATGCCACGGGAAAGGTGGTCCAACCGTGGCTAACTAGAGCAGTTAGGGAAAGTATAAAGTTAAAGGAAGAAGCTTATAAAACAGCAAAGATGAGTAGTAAACCCAAGGATTGGGAGAATTTTAGCGATCAACAAAGGAGAACAAAAAAAGTGATTAGGAGGGAGAAAATGGAATATGAGGGCAAACTAGCGAAGAACATGAAGACAGACTGCAAGAGTTTTTATAAATATATAAAGAGGAAGAGGCTGTCGAAGGTAACTGTGGGTCTGCTACAGGCAGAGACGGGGAGAATTATAGTAGGGGACAAAGACATGGCAGAGTCACTAAACAAGTACTCTGCCACTGTCTTCACCTTAGAAGACACTGAAAACCTACCAAGAAGACAATGTTAGCGAGCAACGTAGGGGAATTAATATTAGTAAAGAAATGATTTTAGGTAAATTGTCAGGTCTTAAAACGGATAAATCTCCTGGACCCGATGGCCTACATCCTAGAGTTTTATACAGGTGGTTTCTGAGATAGTGGATGGCTTGTCTTTGATCTTCCAAAATTCTCTGGATTCTGGAACGGTTCCCATTGATTGGAAGATTGCAAACGTGACACCACTATTTAAGAAGGATGGGAGAGAAAAGATGGGGAACTATAGACCAGTTAGTCTGACATCACTGGTAGGGAAAATTCTTGAGTCCTTAATTAAAGATGTCGTAATGGGATTCCTGAAAGACCATAACAAGATTAGGCAGAGTCAACATGGCTTTACAAAAGTCATGCTTAACTGATCTTTTAGAGTTTTTTGAAGATGTATCTAGCAGGTTAGATAGGGGGGAACAGTAGATGTAGTATATTTAGATTTTAAAAAGGCATTTGACAAAGTGCCACACAAAAGGCTATTGCACAAGGTTAAGGCCCACGGGATTAATGGGAACATATTAGCATGGATTGAAGGGTGGCTAACGGGTAGAAAACAGAGAGTAGGGATAAAGGGGTCATTCTCGAATTGGCAGGATGTGACTAGTGGAGTGCCACAATGATCAGCTATTTACAATTTACATCAATGATCTAGACGAGGACATTGAATGTAACGTATCTAAATTCGCAGATGACACTAAACTAGGTAGGAGAGTAAGCTCTGAGGATGATGCAAAAAGATTGCAATGGGATATAGATAGACTAGGGGAGTGGGCGAGTAGGTGGCAGATGGAATTTAATGTGGGGAAGTGTGAAGTTACTCATCTAGGTAGAAAAAATAGAAAAACAGATTATTTTCTAGGGGGGGGGGGAGAGATTAAATAGTGTTAGTGTTAGTAGATTTGGGTGTCCTTGTACACCAGTCTAAAAAAGTTAGTTTGCAGGTGCAGCAGCAACTAAGATGGCGAACAGCATGTTAGTGTTCATTGCAAAAGATTTAGAGTAAAGAGTAGGGAAGTCTTGCTGCAACTGTATAGGACCCTGGTGAGACCGCACCTAGAATATTGTGTGCAGTTTTGGTCTCCTTGTTTAAAAAAGAACATACTTGCCCTCGAGGGGGTG